GTCAGTGCGGGGGAGCTCAGCCCCTTGTGCGGCATGGCTGGGGCAGCCTGGCCGCAGTGACTTACCCTCCCTGTGCCACCCCGGGGGGACCAAAATGGAGGGTGAAGCCGCGAGAGAAGCGTGCCGGGGCACAGCTGTGGCGAGCAAGGCTGTTGGCCACTGCCGGCTCCCCTGCGCCCTCCCTACCTACCCGCCACAGGGGTCCAGCACTAGTCAGGGCACCTAGTGAGGGTCAGATAAAAACAGGCGTGAAATGGAAACAAGTGGCCACTGGACCCTGCCATGCAGCCGCGGCACCGGCACACGGCAAACGCAGCCTGGGGTCTCCATGGTGTCCGGGTGACAGCATCGCCCTGGCTGGACACCTCCTCCCGGCACAGAGCAAGACAGAGACGCAAGGGGCCCCAGCATGAGAGTGATGCACTGCAGCAGGGTACTTACACGTCGATGAGATACTCATAGTCCTGGTAGTTTTTGGAGAAGTAGGTCTCAATGAGCTGCTCGGTGCCTGTGAGAGCTTCGTGCCCACAGCCACAAAACAGCGCTACCCCGAAGAAGCACAAGCCAGTGGCAACCAGCGAAGCAAAGGGTGCCCCAATGAGACATCTGGCACAGCACTCGAGCAAACCTAGGGAGAAGAGAGGTGAGGTGGGATGGGACCACTGGGACGGGGAGCGCTTGGAGCCTACAGCTCAGGGGCAGGCAAGCACGGGGCGGGAGAAAGGTGCCTGGCGGGAGGAGGGAAGCAGATTGAAGGAAAACCCAGAAATTATTTGTTGTGGTGCTGGAGAGCCAAACCCAGCAGCTTCCCCAAGAGCTCTCTAAGCAGCCAGGCAGGATCACACCCAAGTGCGCCCAGGGACACGGGGTGATGCAATGTGGGGCACCGGGGCCACAAGGCAGCCCCTGGGTGTGAGGTGGATGGGAAGCCAAGGTGAGCCAGCCGTGCCAATCCATGCGAAACAATGGAAATATAAGGCAATGTAGTGTAATGCCAGCAGGACCTGGCAAACAAGCTGCTAACGGGCTGCAGCAGCCCCGTTACGTGGGCAGATGTGCTTATGGAGAGGAGCTGTGTTAGTTCCCTGAACATCAGTGCTTGTGTAATAGATTTAGTCCTCCAGGACAGATATTTGGCAAGAAGGCACATGTACCTGTGTGTGGGTAAGGAAAGCGAGGGCATGTGCCAGCGTGCTGCTTGGGTTGCCTAAATGCTGGATTTTTTTCAGCAGTGGGGCCATGGGCACCTGTTCCTTCTGCATGTTGGAGCTCCAACATGCAGGATCGTTAGCTCAGGCTCCCGATGGGCTGGGTTTGGAGGTGCTCAGCCAGCTGCTCTCCTGCCCTGTTTGAGGGTGGGTAGCCAGGTGGGTTTGCACCGGAGCATCAGTTTGGCTCCAGCTAAGCTGCGATAACCTGCTGCCCTGGCTGTGCAACACCTCTGCGCCGGGAAGCTGCTCCCCTTCCCCAAGATGCGGGCTCCAGCACCCCACTGTCCCAGGCACAGGGGCTGCCTGTGCACATCCCATCTGGGCATAGCATTTGTGCCTTGAATGCCAAAAAGGCACCCATGGGAAGCCTTCCCAAACCCACGCTCCCTCCACGGATCCCACAGTGCTTATCTCCTCCCTCAAAGTACAAGAAAGCTGTGGGGTCCTGGCCAGCAGTGCCCTCCCCACTGGGAGCAAGGTCGCGCAATGGCACCGAGGACAATGGGGGATTGTCCTGGCACTGCCACCCTGGCGGCTGCCCCGTGCTGAGAGCAAACAGAGAACAAAGGCAGTACTATGGGGGAGCACTGGGACCCCTCCCACTTGTTTGCCTTGGATGCGGCAGGTCCAGGGGGGGGCTGCTCCTCCTGTCCAGCGCTGCTCCCCAAACCTCGCTGGGACCTACAGGGATGGCCCTGCGCACCCAGAGGGGTGCTGGACCAAACACGCCTTTTTTATTTTTATTTTTGGGCACCTGGGAAGTGGTGTGGCAGGTGCCCCGGGCTGGGGCATGGTGAATGGCCCCATTCCCAAGGGACTGCAGGTCCCAGGATGCAGCAGGGCCTGGCAGGCTCCCTGACACAGCTCCAGCCCCTCGGGCTTTGGGAAGCCGTGCTGGGAAAGCCTGGGGAGGGGAAGGGAGGAGAGAAAGAGCCCTTGTGCCGCACAGTCCCGGGCCTTGTACCCGGGCTCAGCTGCTGCCAGAGCCAAACAATACACTGCAGACAGGAGGAGGAGGAGGAGGAGGCAGGGTGCCGGCAGCCCATCGCACGCCTGGGAACAGAGCACCCCTGATGCCCTGGGGGGTATGCCGGTAAGTATTAGCTCTGGTGTATCGATAGGGAAACTGAGGCACAAGGGGTGCCTCTGTTTTCCCAAGGCTGCCGGCATACAAGCGGCATGAGCTGTGGCAGGTCTCAGCGCCCTGCCTTGACCTCCCAGCTCCCACCAGCCCCCCAGTTCTCATTTCTCCAGCCCGTGTGGGGAGGGCTCAGGTGGGACCGGCTGTGGGGATGGCATCTGTCCCCACAGACAGCACATGAGCACACAGGGACAGAAAACCACTTTTGGACAGAAAACATCATCCCCCCCATGCCGAGATATCCTCCCCTGGCAGCTCCCATGGCCGGCATGGCCACACCAGGGCCACCAGCACCTGACCGGTGCCAGAGGAAAGTTTCAGGGGGCTCTGCTCTGGGACAGAGCCACGAGCAACAGCTCTCCGGGTGGCTACTCACCCATGGCGCTGGACTTGGTCAACTCCCCCGACCGCCCGCTCGGCTGCTTTGATGCTGTATTCAAGAACCCTCTCCTGCCTGGAAGTCCCTCGCCCTGTATTTCCCCCTCTGGGCGCCTGTCCCGCTCTCCAGCAAAGAAAAGGGCTCTCTGAGTGACAGCCACCCCCCTTAAAGGGACAGAACCCCGCCCCCCCCAACCCTCCCAGCACCCCTTGGCTGCCAGCTCCTGGGTGCCTGGTGGCTGCATGGGCAGAGCCGCCCCACAGCCCCACTCAGGGCTTTTGGGGGAAAAGGCTTTTGCAAAAGAAAGAGAGCAGCTTGGGTGGTGGTGGGGGTTCATGGGGTGTCCCCTCATTGGTGGCTTTGGGGACCCACCCGGGTCCAGCCAGGCTGTGTTTGCCCCAGGCTGCCTGCTGTGGCAGTGTGGGAGGCTGGCCCACAGGACAGCAGTGATGCCCCCCGCCACCTCCCCGACCCCCCAGCATTTGTCAGTGGGGAATGGGGGTCCCCCGTTCCAGGGACCTGCTTTCAGCCTTGGGGGCTCCAGACTGGGAGCTTTCCCCCTTTTGATGGGAATCCTGCAGCCGCTTTCCCTGGCCCCTTGGCCCCTGTTGGGGAACGGTGCTTGGGTGGGCACAGCCGTGTGGTCCCCAAGTGACAACTATGGCTCCAGGGCTGCAGCAGATGGAGCCAGCTCCCTTGGATGCTCCCGCTCCCATGGGTGCCACAGCTCCCCTGGGTACTGTGGCTGCAGAGCCAGCACAGGGCTGGGGAAACCTGCAGAGGGCAACCGGCCCCTTCCCAGCGGGCATGGGGTGGACAAAGCCCCGCTGTGTCCCTCAATGCCCCGCTTTGTGCCAGGCAGTGAGGTGGCAGGGCCTGGCTGTCCCTGGGGCTGGGGATGCTGGCAGGCACCTTGTAGGGACCCCTGCCCCTTCCTCGCCCATCCAAACAGCCACTGGCTTGCCTGCAGACGGGCTGGGGGGGGAAAACACCACTTGGGCAGCTGTGCAAATGCTGCCAGGGCTTCATGGTGGCCAGCTGCACCCTGCATCGGTGGGACGCAGCTCCTGGCCCCCCAGCACCACTCCCTGCCTTGGTTTCCCACTGCGAGGCAGGGTGGCAGAGGTGTCCCCAGCCAGCTGTGGGATGGGAAGGGCTGGGGAGGGACAACAGAGCAGGGAGAGCCTCTGCCACTGCTGTGGGCAGCATCCTTGGGCACATCCTTTAGCCCTCCAGGTGGCACCCAGGTGGCCTGGCAGTGATGTCACCCAGCCATGGTCACCTCGTAATGGCCATGGGAAGGTGACAGCCTTGCAACATCCCTTTGGAAATAACCCGTGACCCCTATGGCCACTGGAAACCAGCAGGGCCCAGCCTGCACCCCAGGGCAGCACGGGGGGACCCCTGGCAACCAGGAGGAAAAAAATATTACATAACCCCCCCCCCATAAATATAATATATAAAACATAACATAATATAAATAAAACAAAATATGACATTGGGGAAAAAAATATAAGCCCTTCTTCTTCTTTCCCT